AAGAGTCTAGGAAGCCCCTGTCAAAGGGAACGGCTCAGGCATGGGAGTAGGACAACAGAAAAGAGGCCAGGAGGAGAAACAGCTGATGGTGTAGTGGTTACATCACTGGACTCCCGCGTAGTCGACCATGGTTCGAGTCCCAGACCTGGAAGTTTAAACTCACGCCGGGCGCGTGTGCGTGCGTGCCCAAGATCCCGAGAGGAGAATGGAGGAGAAGGGATTGGCCATCCCCCCTGGGGGGTGATTTCTCGCTTTCTGTCTCTCTGTCTCTCTCTCTGTATTTCTGACGAGTGCACGTGCCCTATAGCAAAAAACTCTCAAAAATATAATAATAATGAAAATAAAGAAAAGAAAACAGGAGAGTTGCAGTGTCAGGGGAGGTGGAACTGGAGAGGGAGGGTTAGGAACAGCTGAGAGGAAAGGGGGAGATTGAGTAGGGTCCAGGGGAGATTCAAACCAGGGAGCTGAGGGCCTGTAGTGTGGGGAGAGAATTAGAAGACCATCTGTCTGTCACCCCTCCAGACAGCCTCACTGTTTCTTTTCTTTTCTTTTTTTTTTTTTAGAGGTTTTTTTTTTGCTTATAGGGTGCGTGTGCTCGCCAGACAGACAGAAAGCAAGAAATCACCCCCCAGGGGGGATGGCCACGACGCAATCGCTTTCCCCTCTCGGGATCTTGGGCACGCATACACACACGCGCCCGGCGAGTTTAAACCACCGGGTCCAGGACTCGAACCGCGGTTGACTATATGCAAGTCCAGCGACATAGCCATTACACTAACTGCTGATCCCAAGAAGGGGATCTTCTGACTGTTGATTTGACCTCTCCCGCCCCCAATGCCCATTGCTGTGAAGTTCAGGTTCCTCTGGCTGACCTTCCGGAACTCTGATGGTTCAAAAATCTCCACAGGCTTACTCTGAGATGGACCCCTCTTCCACATTCTGACCTCTCTCTTGTTTTATTTACTTATTTCTTAAAAAAATATTCATTTTTATTTATTCAACCATTCATTTTAATTTGGCCAGAGAGAGAAAGAGACAGAGAGAGAAGGAGAGTGAGGAAGCAAGCCACCAGGTCCAGGGCTTGAAATGATCAGCCACATGGGAATCGAGCACCTCAACCACCATGCCACCTGCTGGCCTAATCTCTGTTTAAAAAAAAAAAAATTACAGAGAGAGAGAGACCAGCAGATGGCAAAATGGTTACATCGTTGGACTCCCACGTAGTTGACTGCATTTTGAGTCCTGGAGTCTGCAGCTTAAAAATCACACCAGGCGCGTGTGCATGCGTGCCCAAGATCCCGAGAGGAGAATGGAGGAGAAGGGATTGCGGTGTGGCCATCCCCCCTGGGGGGTGATTTCTGGCTTTCTCACTCCAGCGAGTGCATACGCTCTATAGCAAAAACTCTCTCTTTAAAAATAAATAATGGTTACACCACTGGACTCCCACATAGTGGACCGTGGTTTGAATCCTGGATCTGGTGTCTTAAAACGCCGAATGTGTGTGTGCATGCCTGCCCCAAATCCCGAGAATGGAGAAGGGATTGTGGTATGGCCCCGCCTCTGGGGAATGATTTCTTGCCTCTGTATCTCTGTCTCTCTGGCAAGTACATTTAAAAATAAATAATGGTTACACCACTGGACTCCCACATAGTGGACCGTGGTTTGAATCCTGGATCTGGTGTCTTAAAACGCCGAATGTGTGTGTGCATGCCTGCCCCAAATCCCGAGAATGGAGAAGGGATTGTGGTATGGCCCCGCCTCTGGGGAATGATTTCTTGCCTCTGTATCTCTGTCTCTCTGGCAAGTACATGTGCCTTATAGCAAAAATTCTTTCAAAAAAAATTCAGGGACCAGCAGTTGGCGTAATGGTTACATTGCTGGACTCCCATGTAGTCGACTGTGGTTTGAGTCCCGAACCCGGTGGCTTCAATTCTCACCTGACACGTGAGTGTGCGTGCCCTATATCCCGAGAGGAGAAAGGAGAAGGGATTGCGGCATGGCCATCCCCCCTGGGGGGTGATTTCTCACTTTCGGTCTCTGTCTCTCTCTTTCTGGCGAGCACACGTGCCCCATAGCAAAAACCTCTCCAAAAAAAAAAAAAATCAAAAACAGGGACCAGCAGATTGTGTGAGTTAAGGCACTGGACACTCCCACATGGTAGACCACAGTTTGAGTCCTGGACATGGCAGCTTGCTTTCTCACTTTCTCTGGTGTGTGTGTGTCTCTCTCTATCTCTAGTCAAATTAAAATAAATGAATAAATAAAATTTTGGGGGGGGAGGGACCTCCTCTTGGGATCTTGGGCACGCACGCACACGCGCCCGGTGTGAGTTTAAGCCACCGGGTCTGGGATGCGAACTGTGGTCGACTACATGGGAGTCCAGCGACATAGCCATTACGCTAACTGCTGGCCCCTATAAATTTTTTAAAACTTTTTAAGTTTATTTCAGGAGAATGTGAAGCACCTTTATCAAGGCCTTTTGCCCTGCCCTGCCCCATGCCCTATCCTCCCAGTTGGCCGGGTTCACAGACACACACATTCGGCGTGTACAGGCCAACCCGGGAACCTATGATCCTTATGGATCCATCAATGCTGGGCAGTGTGACAACACTATGTATATCAAACAGTATCTTCGTTTCTTAATGCAGACCTCAGCGTCCCCTCCTCCAGGCAGCCCACCCTGCCACCCCTACCCGACTCCTCCACACGCAGGACAGGAACATCTATGTCTAGTTTTGAAAAGGGGCCTGGCCTCGCACGGTGCCCAGGACGCACCTGCACACACACTCAGGCAGGAGGCTTCCTGTTCCTGCCTGGGGGGGTAAAGTCCGTGGTCCGTGCCTGGCAAGCCTCCAGGTCATGCAGGCTTCATGGAGAGATGCCCTGGGAATAAGCCCCGGGGTCACCTCCCGAGAGATATACCCTTGTGCTCTGGATCCTGGCCTTCTGCCCTTTGGGCAGTTGCTCACATGGGCACAGACATCCATGGAGGGGATACAGGGTGACACGTCACGCCAGCCTGGGCTCGGCCCTGCATCTGGCACCTTCCTGGCGCCGACGCTGTCTCCACACGGCGCTCTGGCTCGTCTTGGCTACATCTGCAGTTGCTCAGGCAGCGGCTGTGGCTGTACAGGACCAGACTCGACCCTGGTCCCCGGCAGACAGGGGACACATCCCATCCATCGGCTTTGGTCAGCGTTCAGTGTTTGCTGAGTGGCCGTGTGAACGCTGGCTGGCCCAGAAACCCCATTCCAGCTGAGCATGAGAGGGCAGGGGACCAGCCATTGGCGTAATGGCTATGCCGCTGGACTCCCACGTGGTCAACCGCGGTTCGTGTCCTGGACCCGGTGGCTTAAACTCACGCCGGGCGCGTGTGCGTGCGTGCCCAAGAGCCCGAGAGGAGAATGGAGGAGAAGGGATTGCGGCGTGGCCATCCCCCCTTGGGGGGTGATTTCTCGCTTTCTGTCTCTCTGTCTCTGTCTCTCTGGCCAGCGCACACGCCCTATAGCAAAAATCTCTAAAAAAAAAAAATTAGTAATAATGGGCAGCAGCTGGTCCCCACAGGGGTTGGGTGGCACCTGCTGGGAGTGTGTTTTGGGGGTGGGGCACTGGGAGAGACTCCAGGGCCTTGATCCTCCAAGTGTTGAGATCAGCACAGTCGTGGCGTGCCGACCTTGATCCTCCATCTGTTGAGATCAGCACAGTCGTGGGGTGCCCACTCCCAGGTCCCCGGTTCAACCTGCTGCCTTGGCAGCTGCAGCGGAGTGAGATTCCCCAGCTGGTCTCTGCACGGACGTGAGACGTCAGCCCTGGGGGAGACGTGGGAGGTCAGGGCACGCGTCTCCTTCAAAGCCTCCCCCGTTGGGCCAGCGGGTGGTGTGGTGGTTAAGTCACTGGACTGGGTTTGAGTCTTGGGCCTGGCGGCACTTTTCCTCTGCCTCCCTGGTCAAATCGTAATAGTCATTCCAATAAATAAAATTAAATAAAAATTGTAAAAGAATCCTTTAACTTTATTATTAATTTTCAGTTTGATTGGAGAGAGAGAGAGACGGAGACAGAGAAAGAGAAAAGTGAGAAAGCAAGTCACCAGGTCCGGGACCTGAACCACGGTTGGCCATGGAGTCCAGCATCTTTAACCACCATGCCACCTGCCAGTCCCTAAATAAATACTTTTAAGAAAAGTTAAAAAAAAAAAAAAAAAAAAGCCTCCCCCATTGGGTGCAGCAGGTAGTGTAGTGGTTAAGGTACTGGACTCCCACATGGATAACTTGAGGTTTCGGTCCTGGACCCGGTGGCTTGACAATCACTCCAAGGACGTGTGCGGAAAGGAGAATGGAGAAATGACAGCCCATCCTCCCTGGGAGGGAGTGATGTCTCACTTTCGCTCTCTGTGTCTCTCTCTCTGGAGAGTACACATGTCCTATGGCAAATATCTTAAGAAAACAAACCAAAAAACACCCTCCCCATCTCTAGAAGATGCCTGACGTATGAATCAGGGGCCATCTGTCCGTGTTGATGTCTCCCAGAGGCACGAGGCCTAGGGACCTCTGTGTCCAGCACACCAGCGGACCCTGCAGTGGCCCGGCGAGCACTGCCACCAGGGCTGGCTGTGTGTGTTGGGCTCCGACTGTGTATACCTGCCCCTCAGGCTGGGGAGAAGGCTACCCTGCTGGACCTGCCTCCCTAATTTCCTTCTGCAGGACAATCTAGGCGGGACCGTCCCGATGTCCCTCTGGCCCAGTGTGGCGAGGTCTCGGCTGGCCACCGCCCTGAGGTTTAAGGTGCTGAGGGAAGCTTTCTCTCTCCCCTCTTGGCCACTCCCCTCCACTGCCACCATTCAGGCTGGGAAAACAGAGGTCGCCCGGGCAGACAAGGGGTCAGATGGTGCTCCGGATTCCCTGGGCCCTGGGGAACCTTCCAGACAGCATCCGGCTGGGCCTGGCGCTGCTGCTCAGGAACAGGACGGGGTGCTGGCGCTGAGGCAGGACCAGGCTGCTGCGGCGGGTGAGCACGGGGACTTTAATACACGGACGACACTCGCAACCGACACGGGAGGGGCAGGTGGGAGTGCGAGCACGTTCCACAGTCCAGACAGTCGTTCGGAGGTTGGCTGGTGTCTCTCCGGGAGGTCAGTAGTACGGCCGCCTGGGGTTGTTCTGCAGGAGACGAGAGAGACCAAGGAGAGGGGGTCAGTGCTGCGGGGGGCGGTTAGCTCCTGCCTGGGCGCTGCGAGGGGCAGCCGAGCCCACAGCCTGGACACAGCAGGGCAGGCTTTGGGGACGGGAGGGGAGGGGAGAGGCCTCCTGGAGGGGGAGACCGATTTAGGCAGAGCAGATGGGGGTTTCAGGTGAGACCTGGCCTCGGATTCGGGGACGGAGGGACCTTTCTGTTACTTTCGCTGCCACCCCCTAGTCCACCGTGGCCCCCGCGGGAAGCCATGTTGGGGACTCGGGGACCCACGCACCAGGGGGTTGGGCCGGAAGCGGTAGGCCAGCATCATCCTCTTGCGGAAGGCCTCGTATTCGTCGTCTTCCTTAGAGAGCTCGGCTGGCCGGTCGATGCCAAAGCCGGCGCCATCCACCGTCGTAGTGCCCCTGCAGGGAGGCACCGGGGCCGTGTGAGCACGGGGCTGGGCTGGTGCCAGCGGGAAGGGGGGTGTCGGGCCTGAACCCTGGGCTCGGTAACGGCACCCCCAGCAGCTCAGCAAGGGGGACTGGGGGACACGTACACGGGGACGTGTCTGTCACCCTAACTTCAAGGAGGATGAGTGGATACTGCAGGCCAGCGCTGTTCGAACCCAGCTCTAGGAGCCAGGCTGTGGCATGGTGGGAATGCAATGGGACCCACAAAGGGAAGGTCCTCAGTTCATGAACCAGGACCTCCCTGAGCACCCGGATGCACGCCCATTCTCATGATCCGGGCTGGCAGAGACTGGGGGTGGATCATGGCATGACTGTTGGTGGGGGGAGGTCTCTCTCTCTCTCTCTCACAGGAGAACGTGAGGTGTGCAGGGCGAGGGAGAGACCCTGCTGGTTTCTGGGACTGGTTTCCTTTTTGCTCACAGGAAATTCAAGCGAGGCCTTCACCAGGCAGGCCCAGCAGGCCCTAGGAGGCCTGACCTGACTCGCCCCATGCACCCCAACCCTCCCAGGCCTGTGGAGACCCATGAGTGGAAGGAGCCCCATGAGGGGGAGAACCAGGACTACACCCCTCTGCACTGTTGGTCCCTGGCAAGGTGTATGCATCGGGATATTGAAATCACTTCATCAAAAAGGGAAAGCTCGGGAACCAGCAGTTGGCGTAATGGCTATGTCGCTGGACTCCCACGTAGTCGACCGCGGTTCGCGTCCCGGACCCGGTGGCTTAAAACTCACGCCGGGTGCGTGTGCATGTGTGCCCAAGATCCCGAGAGGAGAATGGAGGAGAAGGGATTGCGGCGTGGCCATTCCTCCTGGGGGTGATTTCTCGCCTTTTCTCTGTCTCTCTGGTGAGTGCCTGCGCCCTATAGCAAAAACCCCACCAAAAAAAAAAAAAGAAAAAAGAAAAAGAAGAAGGAAAAAAACCCATGTTGGGTGCATGTTCAAAATCCTGAGGAGAATGGAGGAGCGGGGTTGTGGCGTGGCCATCCCCCCCGGGAAGAGATTTCTTATATTCCCTCTCTGTGTCTATTGAGGACATGCATCTGATGGCAAAAAATGTAAAAAAAGAGGGAAAAAAAAAGTGGGGAAACTCTAATATAATGGAGTGGGGGGTGGAAGCAGCAGAGGAGCCCCTGACTTCCTGTTCTCACCCCTCTTGCCCACCTGGCCCGTCTCCCCAGGACGCACTCACTTGTTGACCGGGTTCTTGATGCCTTGGCCCTCCGAGCCCAGCCCCTCGCCCTCCTTCCAGCCCATTTTCATCAGCATCTGGTAGCCGATGTTCTCCACGGTCAGCTTGAACTCCTTGTACTCTGAGTAGTCGGGCTCACGGCCCTCCTGCAGGGCAAGGAAGTGGCCGGTCACCCACCACGGCTGTGGCCATTCACTGGCCCCAGCTCTGGCCTCCCTCGATGCTGGGACCACCTGTTCATCTGTCTCCCTCCACAGCACAGATTTCTCAAGACCAGACTGAGCTCCTGGTTTTCCTCGGGGTCCTCAGTGCCTCTACATCAAACTCAGCATGAGCTCCCTGGCGGCCAGGTCAAAAAGGGAAAGCTACAAAAGCCTTATCTACCACAGGGAAGAGGACTGGTTCGTCGGTAAAGAAAAGCCCGGGACTAGTGGTTAGCTTAATGGGTATGTTGCTGGACTCCCGTGTAGTCGACTGCGGTTTGCGTCCCGGACTCGGTGGCTTAAAACTCACGCCAGGCATGTGTGCATGTGTGCCCAAGACCCCGAGAGGAGAATGGAGAAGGGATTGCGGCCTGGCCATCCCCCCTGGGAGGGGAATTCTTGCTTTCTGTCTCTCTGTCTGGCGAGTGCATGTGCCTTATAGCAAAAACCTCTCAAAAAAAAAAAAAAAAAAAGTAAGAAAAGAAAAGCCCTGTGTGGGCCTGCCAGGCAGTGTGGTGGTTAAGGGTGCTGGACTCCTCACACTCACACAGCTGACCGCGGTTTGAGCCCCAGACGTGGCGGCTTGCTTTCTCACTTTCCCTTTCTCTGTCTCAGTCTGGTCAAAAAACAAAACAAAACAAAACAAAACCAACCAAACAAACAAACAAAAGAAACAACAACAAATGGAATGAAATAAATAATTCTTTAAAAAAAAAAAAAAATCACAACAGGCATACGTGCGTGCGTGCCCAAAATCCTGAGAGGAGAATAGAGAAGGGATTGCAGTGTCACCATCCCCCCGAGGGGTGATCTCTCACTTCCCCTCTCTCTCTGGTGAACGCACACAATTCTGCAGCAAAAACAAAGCCCTGCGTTCACGTTCTGAGAACGGGTTATTGCATAGGGTGCTAAAAAGATGTACCGATGAGGTCACCGTCTAGTTGGAGAAGAGTATGGGGTGCGAAATGGATTTGTGAAAAGGACGAGGTGGGACGTGCCGCGTACGCCATCGCACGAGCCCATCTCCTGCGGGGGCTTCTGCCTCTCTGCCAGGGAAACGCTTTTGTCTCTAAACTGCGCTTAATTGGCTCGGTTGGAAGCAGCGTTTCCCCCGCAGCTCCGGGAACGGCAGCTCCGGGAACGGCGTCTTCAGCAGCAGCTGCGCTGCTATTTGCTAATTCCCTGCACAGACGGCGTCTGTCATAAACAGATGCCTCTGGAGGCGAGAGGGCTGGCTCCAGCTGTGGACGTTGGGGGGGGGGACCCGAGTTTCCCTTGGGCGCCTGCAAGGGGAGGTGGCTGAGGGAGGGCCAGTGCCAGGGGCCCTCCTGGCTTACCTTCAGAGCCTTGAAGGTTTCCATGAACTTCTCCAGCTCGTCCGGGGGCAGGAAGTCTCCGATGAAGTGCTTGCCCCGGCCCATCTTCGTCAGCTGCTCGGCCCACTCTGCTCAGAGACACGGCAGCCGTGAGAGGAAGGAGGGAGGGAGGGAGGGGAGGAAGGGGGTGCGGTGGGTTAGGGGTTGCTCTCAGAGCTCAGGCTCGGGACCAGCAGTTAGCATAATGGCTGTGTCGCTGGACTCCCATGTAGTCGACTGCGGTTCGCATCCCGGACCCGGTGGCTTAAAACTCACGCAGGGCGCGTGTGCATGCGTGCCCAGGATCCCGAGAGAATGGAGAAGAAGGGATTGCGGCATGGCCATCCCCCCTGGGGGGTGACTTCTTGCCTTCTGTCTCTCTATCTCTGTCTGTCGAGTGCATGTGCCCTATAGCAAAAACCTCTCAAGAAAAAGAGTTCAGGTTCAAGTCCTGGTGGGAATTGGGGCTTCCAGGAGGGAGGTGCTGGCCCGTGCCCCTGACCCAAGTCCTGCCTGCCTCTGGGAACACAGGGCAGCTCACCGTCCCCGTGTAACCCGTGGAGGGAACTGGGGCACAGAGGCCGAGTCCCGGCTGAACCCGGGCAGGTGGGTGGGGGTGCCCGGCCTGCCCCACGCACCCCTCGTCTTGTCCATCTCCATGCGCCGCAGCTGGTGCTCCCAGGTGCCCAGCTCGCTGTCCACCTCCTCGTCACTGTCGTAGCCATGCTGGTGCTGCTGCACGGCCTTCTCCCACAGCAGCTGCATGTCCTGCATCGCCCGCTTGTGCTGCATGATCATGTCGTACATCTGCTGCATCTGGGGGAGGGGGGCGCCACGCAACCGGTGAGCAGGCCGGCCGCTCTCCCGTGCGAGAGATCTGTCTTCCTCGTCACCCTGTACAAGACCAGCCTCCCAACCTCCCCTGTGCAATGCCAGACCCCTCAGCTTCCTTGTGCAAGGTCAAGCCCTCTCAGTTCCCCTAGTGTAAGACGAGGCCCGTCTGGGGCCAGCAGTTGGCGTCATGGCTATGTCGCTGGACTCCCACGTAGCCGACGCGGTTCAAGTCCCAGACCCGGTGGCTTAAACTCACACCGGGCGCGTGTGCGTGCGTGCCCAAGATCCCGAGAGGAGAATGGAGGAGAAGGGATTGCGGCGTGGCCATCCCCCCTGGGGGGTGATTTCTCGCTTTCTGTCTGTCTCTCTCTGTCTGTCTGGTGAGCGCACACACCCTTATGGCAAAAACCTCTCAAAAAAATAATAAAAAACTAGGCCCGCTCACTTCCCCTGTGCTAAGGCCAGCCCCCCTCAGCTCCCCTGTGCAAGACCAGCTCCCCAACCTCTCCTGTGTGAGACCTGACCCCTCACCTCTGCGGTGCAAGGCCAGCCTGTCATACCTACCCTGTATGAGGACAGCCTCCCAACCTCCCCTGTGCAAAGCTGGCCTCCCTGAGCTCCCCTGTGCAAGGCCAGCCTCTCTCACTTCCCATGTGGAAAGACAGCCCCTCTCACACTCCCTGTGCAAGAATGAACCCCCCCCCCACCTCCCTTGCATGGCTGCCCCCCCATATTCTAGGTCAGCCCCTGGGTCAGGTCTTGACTGGGTCCCCTAGACATACACGAGAGCAGGGATCTAAGCGAGCAGTCAGGACACGCCTGGGTGCCCTAAATCCCTCCGTGGAGCACGGAAGACCTCTCAGCTGCTGAATGAGGGTGATTCCGGGTCAACGATAGGGGTTGAGGGTCATATGACGGGGCTGTGGGGCTAGGGGAGGGGGTGTGCCCCCAGGGATGGACAGACAGGTGTCTGCAGCTCCTCAGAGGCCCAGGGCAGGGCCACACCCTCAGCTGCAAAGCTCCGAGCTGAGCTGAGCTGAGCGCCTACACCAGCAGCATGACCCTTGGGTCACTGGGGTGCTCTCTGCTAACCGGGACTGTCCTGTCCTGACCCTAACTACAGGGGGGAAACAATAAATGGAGGGGGGGACCAGCAGGTGGCATGGTGGTTAAGGTGCTAGACAGTCCCACATGGCCAACCACGGTTCAAGTCCTGGATGTGGTGGCTTGCTTTCTCACTTTTTGTCTGTATCTATCTCCGATCGAATTAAAAATAAAAATGAACAAATAAATAAATATTAAAAAAAAAAAGTGGAGGGGACAGCAGGTGGCGTAGTGGGCACCGGACTACCACATGGCCGACTGTGGTTAGAGTCCTGGACGGGGCTTGAATCCCATGCCAGGGGGCCAGTGGATAGTGTAATGGTTATGTCACTGGACCCCTACACAATTAACCACAGTTCAAGTCCCGGACCCAGTGGCTTAAAATTCACACCAGGCGCTTAGTGTGTGGGTGCCCAAAATCTTAAGAGGAGAACGGAGAAGAAAGGATCGTGGCATGGCCATCCATCCCCCTTGGGGGGAGATTTCTTGCTTTCTGTCTCCCTGTCTCTCTGGTGAGTGCATGTGCCCTTTAGCAAAATCTTTGAAAACCCCAAAAAACAAAACACCAATGCCAGTCATGTGTGTGCATGCCCAAAATCCCAGAAGGAGAATGGAGGAAGAGGGACTGCAGCATGGCCATCTTCCCCAGGCGGGGGGGAAGGGAGGTGATCTTTCACTTTCTCTTTCTGTGTCTCTGGCGAGTACACATGCCTTATAGCGAAAAAGTCTAGGGACCAGCAGTTAGCGTAATGGCTACGTCGCTGGACTCCCATGTAGCCAACCATGGTTCGAGTCCTGGACCCGGTAGCTTAAACTCACGCCGGGCGCGTGTGCGTGCGTGCCCAAGATCCTGAGAGGAGAATGGAGGAGAAGGGATTGCGGCGTGGCCATCCCCCCTGGGGGGTGATTTCTCACTTTCTGTCTCTCTCTGTCTTTCTGATGAGCGTGCACATGCCCTATAGCAAAAACCTCTAAAAAAAAAAAAAAGTCTAACAACGAAATGAACAAAAGTAAATGGAGACCCTTCCTGGGGACCAGTCCATGAGCACAATGGGAAGGAACGGTGGAGCGCAGGTCACTAGGGCTCTTTGCAGACTGGAGGGGACCCTGGGGCTGACATGTCACCGAGGAGGGGAGCCCTGCCCTAGGAGCCTCCCACTGCCCACAGGCTCCGCCCAGCCCAGCGGCTCAGCAGAACGCTCCGCTGGCACCTCTGGCCCCATCTTCGCGACCCTACCTCCTGCTGCTCCTTCAGCTGCTTCTTCTGGGCGTCCGACAGCTCCGTGACGCCCACCAGACCCACAGGCTTCCCCTTCTCGTAGCCGAGCCCCTTGAGGTCCTGAACTGGAAACCAAAGGCACAGAGCCGTCAGTGACCACCCACACGGGGTCCAAGGTCCCTCTCTGGAGTGGGTCATGGAGTCCATGCGTTATTGTCCGAGGAACTGGGGGCAGGGCCCACTGCACGGCAGGGCCCTTGGGTCACGATGGTCCATGCCACATTTTATGTGAGGACTGTGGGGGCCACGCTGGGTGCTGTCGCATGTACTGGTGCTTTACTCCCTTGTGACCTCTCCAGGCGGGCTCCATGCTCCCCAGTGAGACAGAGGCAAATATAAAAAATCAAAGGTTCAGGGTCAGGCCCAGCAGGTGGTGTGTGGTAGTGAAGGGGGTGGCTTCGCACACGGCCAATCTCCGTTCGAGTCCCAGACTTGGCAGCTTGAAGGTTGTGTGTGCGTGCTTGAAGTCCTGAGAAGAGAATGGCAGAAGAGGGATGGCACACACACACACACACACACACACACACACACACAAAAGGATCTGGGGGGCCAGCAGGTGGCGTGGTGGTTAAAGGCGCTGGACTCCCACATGGCTGACTGCGGTTTGAGACCCGGACCTAGCGGTTTGTTTTCTCACTTCCTTTGGCTCTCACTCTCGCTCTCTTGCTCTGTCCCTCTCTGGCCAAATTAACATAAAATAAATAGGGGCCAGCAGTTAGTGTCATGGCTATGTTGCTGAACTCCCATGTAGTCGACTGTGGTTCGAGTCCCGGACCTGGTGGCTTAAACTCACGCCGGGTGTGTGTGCATATGTGCCCAAGATCCTGAGAGGAGAATGGAGGAGAAGGGACTGCAGCATGGCCATCCCCCCTGGAGGGTGATTTCCCGCTTTTTGTCTCTGTCTTTCTGGTGAGCACACACGCCCTATAGCAAAAACTTCTCCCAAAAATAAATAAATAAATAAATAGGATCAGCAGGTGGCATGGTGGTTAAGGTGCTATACTCTCCCACATGGCCGACAGTGGTTCGGGTCCCAGACCTGGTGACTTGCTTTCTCACTTTCTCTCTCTAACTCTCTATGTGTCTCTCTCTGGTCAAATTAAAATAAATGAATAAATTAATTAAAATAAGTAATTCTTTAAATAAATAAATAAAGTTAAATAAAATTTTTTTTTTTGAGAGTTTTTTTTTTTCCCCCCCCC